ACACAACATGACTACACAACATGACTACACTAGATGGAATGAAAAGTTTGGCTCGATCAGAGCGGATGGATTTGATGAGCAGGTTTGTTTGGCTGCTGACGTGCGTCTGAACGGTGACTGTCACATGTTTACCTGCACAAACAGCGGTGCAGCTCGACAGTCGTGATGTGAGGTGGAACCTGATGCTCGTGGGAATAAAACTGCTGCGTGTAAACACGCCTTCACGCTCTGCCGGCTGCTTCCACAACTCTCAAACCGAATGGAAGTTTCATGGCGGCGCCGGCAGCTGGTCCACCTGCAGTGGAAAGGTCTGCAGGGACGAAGGCTGAGAAAGACAGTGAGAGTGTGGAAAGTCCCGTCCTCCTGTGACCACGCTGCATCATGTCAACACGCCGCCTTCAAGTCTGGACAAGAAACAAGCGTCCTCCATCCTGATTAAACTGTTATCCATTAATTAGTGACTTGTTTTTATCAACATTGTTCTTTAACTTATTCTGATGATTTAACAAAATGTTCCAGTGGTCGAAGTTAAAAGTTGGAACAAATCTTTCACTCGTTCAGATCCACGTCAGAGTTTCCTGCTTTTCTTTTGCTTCGAATCTTTTGAAATCGGAATAGTTTGGAGTTGTTGTTGTTGGTTTGTCACGTTTCTCACTGTTGTAAAGTTTTTATAAACCAACGACAGAAAATGGTCCAGTTGAAGATGTCGGTTAGTTTTAGCTCTGACAGTGAAGTCAGTTCATCTGTGAAATCTAAAGTCGATGAGACGGAATCAGACCCAGTTGTATGTTGTTGTGTGTTTGTCTGTCTGTGTTAAATGTATCACAGTTCTGACAGGAAGCTGGGAGTTCATTGCAGCAGCTTCGCATAATTTTCATTTTCTTTAACACAAGCCGCTGTGTTTGTTACTTCCTGTTTGTGTGCCGCCACCAGGAAGTGGCCGGGATTGTTGTGCTGACTGGTTGGTGAGAAAGCTGTCAATCAAACTGTGCTGCTGATTGGACGGAGATGTCCTGCGGGACGATCTGGTTCTAACTGGACTTGGTTTGTTTGAAAATGAATCAAAAGACGAGATTTGTTCTGACTCAGGTTCTTAAAGCCCTAAACTTTAACAAGATATTTAAATCTGTTAAATATTAATTTTAGGTACATCTCAATTATGTGAGCGTTCATTTAACTCTAGTTCTGTAGTCACATGAACAGAACGTTTTAATAAAATCTGCTGATCCGTCACATCATGGAACATTTCTGTCACGGTCTGAACTCTGTGATGAACATGTGCACATATGACATGTAAGAACATGTGTTATGTCTGTGGACGTCCGAGTCAGCTGAGATGGACGTCCACTTTTTGTGGCGTCATCTCTGACCAATGGGTGGAATTAAATTGGAATGGAAGAAGCAGATGTTACTCGTCACTCATCAATATCTTCTGTCACATTATAGATTTTATTTTGGGTTTGTGTGTCTGTAACACTTGGTTTGAGCTCCTGTCTCTTTAAGTCTTGATAGAGCCCTGCTCCGATTGGTCAGCTGGCTCACCGTGAGCCCGGCAGCTGGAGGAACGCGTTAGTCATCGATCGTCAGAATCTGAAAGAAAACTCGTTAAATATAAATGTGGATGTAGATGAAGAGTGTTTTAATATATGCACACACCAAGACATCAAACAAGCGTGTAGTAGCAAATTACACAACAGCCCCGCCTCCTGAAGATGAATCTGAGCTGAGTGACCATTCAATTCAATTTATTTGTATAGCACCAAATCCTAATATACATCACCTCTTTACATAGAAGGTCAAGACCTTCAAATCTTATTTAATATAGAGAAACCAGCACTTTGAGACTGTGGAGGAGAAACTCCCTCGTTAACAGAGAGAAACCTCTAGAACCAGACTCAGTGTGGAGACATCTGCCTCCACCATGAGAAGAAGGAGCAGGGAATCATGGGAGACTTTAGGTTTCCTGGCTGAGCTGTGACTGTAAACATCACACGATCAACACACCATCATTAAACCTGTTTCCCATCAGCCACCTCTGTGAGGACCAAGTTTATGGAGTCAGATCTTACTGAACCATCAAACCTCTGACGCCTCATAATAAATTCCTTTTATTTCTCCATTTCTCTATTTCTTCACTTCCTCCCCAACTTCCTGTCGTGTTGAAATAAACTGTGACTTAGTTTCCTCCGATTATCTTGACAGAATATTTTCTCGCACGTCCCAGTTTCTACATTCAAACCAACACTGACAAGAAAACTAACGTCACTGTCTTTTCTTCCTCTTTCCAAACTACTCAGAGTTTTCAAGAAGTCAAGCCCTAACTGTAAGGTGAGTCAGTTCTTCAGTAATCCTGCAGCAACCGACACGACTGAGAGGAAATGATCTGTCGAAACGATGACGTCTTTAAAGAGGAACTTTGACTGTGATAACGATAATATTGAGAACATGATGATAATAATTACCTGCTCTCTGTTATCAGATCTTTTTAGAGTCATGAGAAACCTTTTGTCACAGAAGTAGTTTCTAGAGTTAAAGTGACTGAACGTGAGGTTTGTGTGCAGGTGACAGTTTACCTGGGAAAAAGAGACTTTGTGGATCATCTGGATCATGTGGATCCTGTAGGTGAGTCGACTCCTCTGAGCTTTAAGGATTTCACAGCGTTTCGTGCTCAGTAGAAAATGTTTTTCCAGTTGCTGAGCATTTAGAATCCGTCAGTCGGTGGTTGAAAGGTCACATGTTTAAAAACAGCTGAGTGCACAAAGTGTGGACGTAGGTTTATGCTGACACAGGGTTTTTTCTTCCTTCCTCCTGCTGACAGACGGAGTGATCCTCGTGGACCCCGAGTATCTGAAGGACAGGAAAGGTCAGACCACTTCTTCCTGAGCTCTGAATGTGTGCTTCAGTTTAACACTTTAAAAACTTTATCATAGACAGAAACTTAAAATAGACAAAGCACTATTGGATTTTCAACTTTCCCACAGTCCTCAAACTTACCATAGCTGCTTCAGACTGAACTCCTCAGGTCTCTGGATCTTCTCTGGAGGACAGTGAGACTCAGTTTGTCTGTCTCCTCCTTCACTCCTGTATAAAGTCTAAGTCCAGGAGAAGTGAGGACACAGCAGAGCGTCCTCCACTGAGGGAGTGGGGGGTGATGAGCTTCTAACACGTGACACAAACATGAAGACACACAAACAAATGTCTCTGGAGACAAAGTGCTGACACACACATAGAAGACACAGACGAAGACGTGAAGACAGTTTGTGGTGATGAGAGCTGACAACGGTGTCAGGTGATGTAAACATGATCACATGATCACTTCCTGTCTGTCTGCTCCACCTCTCACCTGAAGAACGAGGAGGATCTGATGCTGAACGAGTCTGAGCAGAAAACCTGCTGCTGAGTTGTTCATGTGAAACATGAACTCTGGAGACGAGTCTCTGGAGACGAGCCTCTGGAGACGAGCCTCTGGAGACGAGCGTCTCTGGAGATGAGT